ACCAAATGACCAGTTAGTGGAATAGATATTCTACGTACATGGATAATCTCCTCTTCTTTGCACATTTGCTAATAATCAGAAAAAATATTTTTCAAATGCATCAATTGATCCCTATGAGTGTTGCCGTGCAGCAATTTTATCTTTATATAATATTATTGATAAGCAGAAAACATCACTGGAAATTAATGATAGTGTAGTTCCGTTTCATTGGTTACTGAATTTCAGAACAAATGGCAGTACTCAACATGAGAGGGGTAATGCCTCAACTACAAATAATAGTATCGGAATTGCGACGACGAATGTCAAATCAGCAAATCATAACGATATACTGAATTTGAAATCCTCTAAGGATTCGAAGCAGTGTTTTACCTCAGACGAAGGATGTTGTGGTGGTTTATTGTTATGTTTAGCATGCAAACGATAATTCTTGCTATCATCGCTGACCGTTTTTCGTTATTATTTATTCTGCTTACCACTTTACATTTATGAAACATTCGTTTGCTTATTTTTATAGAATAAACATCTTAATAAAAACGTTTTTCCTGCTGCGAATAACCATCGAAAATTTTCTGTGGTTATTAAACATTTCTACGATTTGCGCTTATTTGTTAATAATTTTCATCTAAAACTTGCACTGGTGTTTCGTTTAGACTATGCTTCTCACGGTCAGCGAATAATTCATTGCTGAATTATAGCCACTGTTTTTTGATAACGTTCACGTCATACGTATGGAGCGACGTTGAATCAGAAATGCTTTTCGCACCGCTGCAACACAAGACAGTGTTCAGTGATCTCGCACAATTCATTTCATAGACATTTGACGTTCTTCGATAAAACATTCGTGAAATTGTGCGTGAGAATTATCTTAAAAATAGATATTTAAATTTTTGAGTTTACTTGAATTCTCGAGAACATTTCTCTCATCGTTACTCCGTGTTCAATCGTTTATCTTATCGTTAGTGTGACAAATCATTTCGTAATATTCATTTGGGAAAGAAGTTGAATATTACGACAATACTTTCATGTGATCGAGTCATATCGAGCATTCATTTCCAATGCAGCGATGCAATAATTTATTGAAATTGNGGAAAGAACGCCAATAGATTCAACGAACCGTTCATGTGGAATCATGCACAAAAATATTGCCCTCAAAATGTCTGCGTCAATCACTTGCATCACTAGTCAATATGATGACAAAAAACACGACGCAAATACTAAAAACGAGGCTCGTCTCAGATGTAAATTACCGTACCGAAAACAAAGAATACCTCGCTAAAAGCGAATAAGCACAACGAAATTGAACTGCAACACTCACTATATCAGAATCGATTACATTCACGACGAGTCATGAAGCAGCGAAAAACACAACAAAGAAATTTATTTGTTTGACTAAGTTAGCAACGATCAGAGAACAAAGCAAGCAAACAACGGTGAAACGTGAGAAAAATGTTTATCCAAAGAATACGGTAAATTATTTGAGGGTCGTAAACTACTTTATGGGTCTGTTTTGAATTTCGCTACAGCAAAAGTAATATTGTACGACAATGGGATCATATCACGGTTGACAAATGTCCAATTTAAATTCGCAATAAACTATCACAATTTTACACCACAAACATCATTTTGTATGCTATAAACTAATTGGATTAAGTGACCATGAAGAATTAAAAATTCGAGCATTCTTTCTTGTATATAAGTTGAATGTACTAGGTTAGTAATAATAATCAATTCAACTTGTAACAACANAGCATTCTTTCTTGTATATAAGTTGAATGTACTAGGTTAGTAATAATAATCAATTCAACTTGTAACAACAACAATTCAATGAGAAATGCAAATGTTAATGAAAATAATGCAAATAACAAAGTGTTTACATTAGTAATATTTAAGAAAAAATCATTTAATGTCCAGTGGAAATGCTTAACTCATTTGGCAATTTTAATTCAACATCGACATTCTCATAATTATGGAGAGAGCCTTCTGCTGAGTTTATTGCATTGCGACGATCAGTTTCATTGTGTCTCGTAGAAGAATGCTCGTTGGATGAAGACGTACACTGAGAGGCAATGCTGTGCAGGAATGATGCTGATCGTGTTTGCTGCAAAAGAGAACATATCATTCGATATTAATTGAAACAATCATAATAACATGAACTCTGATGTAATAGAGCTGCAGAATTGTTGTGCTATCGATTCGGAGCCACAGTGAAAAAAACTGAGAAAAAACTTTAATGGAAAATGTAAATATTAATGAAAAAAATTCTAACTGAATACAAGCCGACCTCATCATCCTTAGTCTTCATGAAATTATCAATACCGATTGACGTTTCATCACTGTTACTATACGCTTTCTTCCTATTAAGATTAAAAAATTTTTCGTCATTCGAATGCTGATTAACTCGCTCAGCACGTACCATTATCGGTAGTATCTGGCTATCGAAAAGCTTTTCTCCATCACTCAAACCATTATTGACTTGCTGCAACAATGGAGTAATGAGTAACTATATTAGTTACTCGAGTAGTGATAAAATTAAAAACCATCTATTTGCATGTGCGGAATGGCAAAAATAGATNGTTACTCGAGTAGTGATAAAATTAAAAACCATCTATTTGCATGTGCGGAATGGCAAAAATAGATCCGACCTGATCGGTGTAGCTTGTATTCGGTAAACCACGAAAACCATTTCTGCGTGGCATATTTGGGATGTACCCATTAGTTTGAGCATGATTATTCGACAGTGTGCTGTTGGTATGATTCGTTTTCGATAGTTGTTTGTGAGTTGTGCTTTCCGTTGGCTTCATTCTCTTTTCATCAGTTGAACTCGGTGGTTTGCTTACTCGACAATCACCAATCGAAGAACCGTTTTTAAGAGGATTTGATGGATTCATTGGAGGGGTGTCATGAATAACTGCTTGAAAATATTCATAATTTTCAATACAACACTTCGCATTGTTATCATCCAACGATACTTCCAAATCTGTTGATCTGAATTTTGTTTGATGAATCATTTTTGCTCATTTCACAAAATGCTAAGTGTGAGATACTGAATGCGTGAGATTTGTGAAGATGGTACCATTCATCAGTACTTTTGAGATTATCATTCGACCCTCCCATTTTTAATTCGCTTCTGTTCGGATCATTGGAAGAATCTGATGCGTATTCTCAAGTTTACCGCGCTCTCTGAGAAAGGAATTTGATANTTCTCGCTATGTTTGCATAGTCCTTTTAAGCGTTTCGCCAAAACTGCAGCTTGGAAACGATTACTGCTCTTCAGTGAACTATCGTGAGTCCCCGGTGAGCTAGGCTGATGTGTGTCTTCACTGAAATGTCGATTATACAAACGAACTCGGAAAAATATCGTTCATAAATTCGTTTACTGAGGTCGAATACAAAGAATAACTTCAACTGATCAAAAATCATTGGTCTTAAACTGATTTGAAAACAAAGCGTTTAATGCAATGAACAAGTATTGACACTAATGCATATACGTTAAATATTAAATTCTAATAATCATACTCAATAAACAATCAATCAACCAACCTTTTCTGATTTGCTCTTAATGAAGAACGATGAGAGAGCGAGTTCGTTTCAGAGGATGAACTTGCAGTTGACGCAAGTCTTGTTGACGGTGTTCGTGTGGCACTAGTCGAGCCTAAGCTACGTCGCACGAACACCTCAAGAACATAACGTATCTCATCACTTACACACTCAAACTCCATTCATTTCTTCTGCTTATTTACGGAAAGCCGACCGAATAAAGTTGATGCAACTGAACAAAAACTGATTCGATCACAGACCTGATGACGAGGTTCATTTGAATGCGGTGTGTTGACTAATTGGTTGTTACTTGATGAAGTTGTTTTGGCGGTAATGCGATACAGATGATGACCATTGTGACGATCCACGCAACATTCCAAGCAAACGCAGCATGTCTACAGTTAGAAGTGTCA